CTCAGGTTTGGTCTTTTGATGGAGTCAGTGAGTTCTTGCATATTCCTTTCACAGGTCCTGAGTTGTTTGACTAATAGCTCTTCAGTTTTTCCTTTAATTTCTATTTTATCTTCAAGTTCTGTGATTCTGTCCTCTGCTTGTTCTAATCTGATGGAGAGGCCATCCCTTGTGTTTTGTATTTGTTTCATTCTTTTTTCTGAGTTTCCCATATCATGGGTCACTTCCTCTTTAATATTGTCTATTTTTGCCTTTAATTCATCTATCTCTCTATTTATAGTGTTCTCTGTTTCACGTTGGTGTTTATTTAGGGTTTCTATGAGTTCATTTGTTTGTTTCTGTGTACTTTTGTATTCTTTATTTTTGGTGTCTTGGAATTTCTTGAGTGCCTTTTGTACATGTTTTGGTTGACCATGTCTAGTAACACCTCCATGAAATTCTCAGTGATTACTTACAGGATTTCTTCTTTGAGGTTTTTCTTGTGGACATCATTGGGTTCCTTGGTGTCATTTATCTTTGTTTTGTTGGAGTCTGGAACTGGGTATCCATTTTCTTCATTTCCCTCTGAATCCTGTATTAAAATATTTTGGGGGGAAGAATGGCTTCCATCCATTTTTCATCTTCCCATAGCTCCACTTGGTAGTGTGCAACTATGTTCTTGATAGGTTATTGGTGGTTTCAGTCACCTGTTTTCTTTCCCTTGGTTAATTTTTGTTTTGTGGGTGTATTGGATTTTTAACTTAGTGTATGTATGCTATTTCTGTCCCTGGTCTGGGTGTAATTTAACTAGTATTAACTAACTCACAATAGTAAAACTAACAAAACAAAACAAACAAATAAACAAAAAAACCAAAGAAATCAATGTGGAGAGATGAACAAACACAAACAAGAAACAAAACAAACAAACAAACACACAAAAAACTCCAGGTTCAGGAACAATAGAATTTCAGTCTTAGTAGTTCTGGTGTTAGTCCTTTAGCATCCAGTCCTGGTGTTGGTATTTAAGCAGAGGCTCTGTCTTAGTCTCACCAGGTGGTTGGAGAAACTAGCCAGTTTTTTTTTTTTCCTGTCTTTCAGCAGCAGCGGCTTAGTCAGCTCCTCCCTCAGTGAGGTGTGGCTTGTCCTCAGCTCTGTAGCCCACCAGCCGACCTGCTCTGGAGTTGGGTTTTTGCTGTGTTGGTTTATTAATGGCTTGTTTCTTTGCCTCACCCCCTTTCTCTGGGACAAGGTCAGTGTTCTGTCAGCCAGCCCCCTGCTGTCAGCATGTTATGATGGTTTGCTGATGGTTTTCAATTTTGCAGTGTTGTTTGACTTTGGATGTTGCTCACTGGCTCAGGAGATGAGTTTCGTGGATTGTTACCTGCTCTATTTCAGGCAGTAGGTTATCACCTGCCTGCTGTCAGCCCTTCTGCCTTTCCAGCCTTTGTTTACTGAAAGTTCACTTGGAGATCAGCTCCTTGCTTCTCCCCACTTCTCCAGTGCACCCCACCCCTCTGCTGTGTGTTAGTTTTCAATTCCTTGCTTATTCAGTTTTTTGGTTTTTTGGGTTTTTTTGCAGGGCAGGGGGTCAGTCTGCCCAGCAGCCTATGCTGGTTTATCCCCGGGGGTGGCTGGGGGAATACTGCGTGACACTTGGTGCTCACCTGTTGGTCTGTCGAATGTCTCCCAAGCAGGTTTAGAGCCTGTGTCTGATGGCATAGAAGTCCTCCTGCTTTCTCAGTGTACATGGCATGGAGAAGTTTTGTACAGGGTTCAGGGTGTCAAAGTTTTGATTCTTCTTGGTACTTTATTTCCGCCAAGTGTGGCTCCAGTGTCTCAGCAAGATTTTTGATTTACAGAGCTCACGCGGTCTGCTTCTGCACTCTACTCACCATCTTGGATCCTCCCTCCTATTACCTCCTCTTAATAGATCTTTCTCTTTATTAATATGAAGTGATGTTCTTTGTCTTTTTGAACTAACTTTGATTTGAAGTTTATCAGTTAAGAGTATAGCTACTCCTGCATGCTTTTAGGGCCCATTTTTTTGGAAAATCTTTTTCCATCCTTTCACCCTAAATTAATGTTTGTCTTTGTAAGTGAGATATGCATTTTCTGTGGGCAAATGGTCAGGTCTTGCTCTTTAATCCAGCCCACCATTCTATGTCCTGTCATTGAAAAGTTGAGCCTATTATCATTCAGTATTAACATGAAAAGGTGTTTACTATTTCCTGTCATTTTATTGTTATGTGATTTTTTCTTCATTCCTAATCCTCATTTGTCAATCTACTCATCTATTGGGATTTAATCTTTCCTGTATTTTCCTTGTTGCATTTGGCTTTCTCTTTTGAGTGTATGAATTCTTTAATTATCTTCTGCAATGCATTTAGTGGTCATGCATTTCTTCAGTTTTTATCATGGAAGTATTTATTTCTCCTTCAATTATGAAGGATAGCTTTACTGGATACATCAATCTGGTTGACAGTTATTTTCTATCAGAGTTTGGATTACATCATTCCATGGCCTCCTTGTTTTTAGTTTCTGTTGAAAAATCTGGTGTTATTCTGATGGGTTTGTCTTTATATGTGACTTGTTGATTCTTTTTTATAGCTTTCAATATTCTTTCTTTGTTCTGTATATTTACTATTTTAACTATAATATGTCTAATGGTGTTTCTTTTTCTGCTCTTGCCTGTTTAGTGTTCTGAAAACCTCCTGCACCTGCATAACCCTCTCTCAAGGCTAGGGAAGTAAGTTTCCCGCTACTATATTATTGAATATTTACTATGCCTTTAGTTTGTAGCTCTTCTCTTTCTTCTACACCCATGATTCATAGCTTTGGCCTTTTGATGGTGTGCCAAAGGTCTTGCATGTTCCATTCATATATTCTTTGTATTTTTTCCTTATCTTTGTCTGATCTAATTCCTCTACTTTATCTTCAATCTCTGATTCTCTAGTATGTATGTTCAACTTGTTCCATTATACTAGGAAGGCTTTCTTTTTTTTTTTTTTCCTTCATTTTGTTTTTATTATAGCATGTTTGCTTAATTTACAGCAAGCAGAAAATAAGCTGGGTCTTGCTTTGATCCAAACATTGATGTCTTAAAGGTCGTACACAATACTTGTTAAAAAGAACATACAAAAATACCTTTTTAGAAGCTTCTATAAGAAAGAAAATACAAAGTTTAACCCCACAACTTTCCTCTTTGCTAGAACTGCAAACTACTGCTACAGTTTTAAATAGACTTTATTGTTTAAACTATACATCCAGGAAAATCTAAAAAAATTAAAGAAACGTGCATATAAATGATTGCATAGCAGAACATGAACATTAACTGCAAACAGTAAAGAAATGAAAATTAGAAACACTATCAAATATACAAAGGTTCTAGAATTGATCCTTTAAACACATTCCACAAACAGTATTAAAAACCATCTTTGTTCTTTACAGGCAAGGCCTAGACTTCTAAAATCAAAATTTAAAAAAAAAAAAGTAATCCTCTAAAAGGAATCATTTTCCCATAGTATTTCTTACTCATATCTCCAAGCAATCTGAGATTTTTAAAGATGCTGCCTTTTTATTCTGAAATGAGACTGGACATTTCAAGTCACTTTTTATTACCTCCTGAATGTTCTGAGAAATACTAGAAATTATAATTAAGGGTATTACTTCCTCATTTTTAGTCAAGTACTACGGTACTATATTGATAATCAAAAACTAAGAGATGTGGCTCTTGCTTAAAACTAATCCTTTATCCAAAATTACTTTAAATTTCATGGCACCACAGAATCATCAAGGATGGGAGTGTTGTCTTTCAATTTGCCTCACATTAAATAAACTGAGGTGTGAAGAGCAAGCCCCCCTCAAAAAGAGGTAGGCAAATTTTGATACAAATGCACATGCCAAGTGCTGTAAGCATCAAAATTCTTTTTTTTACACTATGCACAAACACAAAATCTATTTTGAAACAATTTACTAATGCTTCTAACAGCAAGAAAACTAAGTAACAATAGTCAACAATGCTCCTAAAATTTTAGAGTAACTTTATGTAAGAACATTCTTTTCCCCTTAAAATTATTTCTGTCATCACTGACATGTTCAAGTTTTAAGGGGAGTTTTTCTGATGTTTTTATATTCCAAATCTTAGAACAGAAAAAAAAAAGTAGTGAAGGCTCCATGTTTCAGTAAAGTACTCACTCTTCCTCAAAATGCTACCTAACCCAGTTGGCATCATTCCCCAAGACAGTGGGGTTAAGAAAAGAACTAGTCCACACTGCATCATAAATAAACTGTTATCATGGACCTAGATATCTTGACAAAACATAGAGGTCCACCCTGAACCTACATGTATCTGAGCAGTAAGTGTGGTAATGTGGTTACAACCTCACTTTTGTATCATTCTATCTTATCAGCAAGCTACATTTCTAGGTTAACAGTTCTACCAAATATGAAAATTTATCTTTAATAAGACAATGTTGCAAATTATGGTCAACCAACATCTTTTCACCAGATAATTCAAGCATAAAAAAGGAGAATCTTTACAAAAATATACAGAGACACCACAAATTGATAGCTGCCCTTAACATTAAACAAACTGGACTCTTAAGAGTGGCTTCTCAACAGCGTATCATTTTAATATAACCATTGCCTGGTACAGGGAAAACTAACAAGTATTTTTATGCATCATTGCAACATTGTATTCCTGATAATTTAAGTATACCAAACTATGAGTAAATGAATGATACATGCCTAGAAAGTATCATAGTTTATACTATCAGTGGCCACTGGATTTAGGACTAGTCCAAGACCTTGATCTAGATTTTGACCTAGACCTAGAGTGTGATCTTGACTGAGATTTGGATCTAAGTGGTTCTTTTTTCCTTGATTCCTTTTCATATCTTGAGCCAGACTTATAATGTGTTTTGGAATCTGTTTTAGAGGTGCCTCTAGTTTTGGTGTGAGATGCAGACCTAGACCGTGATTTAGCCTTCATTTCTTTCTTGGGCTGGGACTTGGACCGTGATCTTGAATTGGATTTAGATCTTGAAAAAGATAGATTTCGTTGTTTGAATCTATCATTGTCAGAATGGCTTCTGCTACGCCGTGGTCTTCCAGTTGGTCTACTGTTTCTAGGACTATAAGATCTTCTATAGTTGTAATCAAAAAACCGACTTCTTGATTGCCTCCTTCCGTAACTTCGGCTTCTAGAATGTCTGTATCTGTCATAATCATCGTAGCGTGAAGAGCTATACACATTCCTCCCTTCCTTGGCTTTCATTTGGTTTGATGTTTTTCGATCCCCCTGTGCAAACTGTATTTCAATCTGACGTCCACAAATCCATTTTCTGTCCAAATTATGTAAAGCATCTTCAGCATCATGAACATCCTCAAATTGAACATAAGCAAATCCTCTTGGACGTCGAGTGTAGAAATCAAGTGGAACATACACATCAATTATAGGACCATAACGACCAAATTCAAACCATAAATCTTCAGACCTGGTGTCGTCGGCCACGTTCCTGACGAACAGAGACGTGTTGAGGGGACGCAGGTAGCGGGACATGACGCCACTGTGAGTTTCAGCCAGGGGCACTAATGGGCTCAGCAAACCATCCGCGACTCCCAGTGGCAGCTTCTCCCTAGGAAGGCTTTCAATTGAGCTTTTATTTGGGTTCTTGAGCTATTCATTTCCAGGGTTTCAATTTGATTTTTTGCAGGATTTCTGCATATTTATTGAATTCCTCTTTTGTATCCTGTATTGCCTCTCTTATTCATTCAACTGTTTATTTCAATTTTTTTTAGCTTATTCAGCTGTTTATTTCTATCCTTTTTAAATTCTTTGGGGTACTTATGTGTCTTCTTTAATTTCATTGGTCATACTTGTCATCATTCTTTTGAGTACATTGTTTGAAATTTCATACACTTCACTATCACCCAAATCTTTAATGTGGAATTGTTGGCTTTTGGAGGAGGCAATTTGCCTTGTTTTTTTTCATGCTACCTATGTTTCTATATTGGAATTTATGCATTTGAGGCCAGTTGTTGGTTGGAAGTTTTAATCACAGTAGTTTTTCAGTTGAAATATTGTTAATGTCCAGGCAGGACAATGTAGTAGCCAGGTTGAGGTGCTGTTTCTCACCACTGGACTAGAGGTATGGCTCACAGTTAAGCATTTTCCCATGTGCTCAAGGTGCCAGGCCTGATCTCTAGCATTGCTCAGATTGGGATAGATTAGCTGGTGTCTTTTGTAGAAGGTTGTTTTCCTCTTCTGGGATGCTTTCACTACAGAAATTTCCCCACTTTTTGTAATGGGAGACATTGTTCACTACAGGGAGCTTGATAGCCTGTGAGCTCAGCAAGTTTCCACTTGCTCCACATGCCCCTATGTTTGTGTCCCCAGGAGCAAGCAAGCATCTGAGCCTTAGGGTGATCCCCAAATCTGTCAGAGAGTGGGGGTAGCAAACAGAGCATTAAATTTTTCAATGGCTGGGGGAAAACTGAGGGACACAGTCTCTCTGCCTGCTGGTCTCAATGCTTACAGACCCTGTCCAGCAGTTCCTTTCCCTGTGAAAAAGAGAAGGTTTCATAAATCACACGGTGTGTTCTTGGAGCCCTCAGTCCTGCCTATCAGCACACACACCAAGAAGCAGTTTCCAGAGGCAGTTCTCAGTGCTTTTAGACACTGTTAAACAATTTACCTTCTGGCAGACAGAGAAAGATGTGGGTATCATGTGATTCAGAAGTTCTGGGCTCAGGCTTTGACCTATCTACTTGTCACTGCTGGCAGCCAGGAGGCAGGCCCTGGAGGCTGAATAATAAGCCAGCCACAGACTTTGTACTTTGTTTTTACCCAGGGCTCTGGTGATAGGATTTGCTCCTAGCTAAGGAAGGGGGGCTTTCAACCATCATGGCACCCTAGACTGCCAGTGGAGTTTGCTCATTGCTTGAAATTTTCTATGGAATCATGCCAGACCTTCTCTCTCTCCTCAGCCACCTCTTGGCTATCTCCCACCCAGACTCTGTGGCAGGGTGCCTCAAGACTCCCTGAGCTATGAATGTTCCTTGTTTTAGTCCATCAGAGTATCTCAGTCTCAAATAATAGGCCTTCTCTCAAGATGACACCTTCTTTCCCCTCCAAGTTAAGGAAAGTGATAGAATATCTTTCTTCCTGGAGGCTAGCTTCCCACATTGGAACAGTCACAGTCTCACAAATCCCTGCATGGGTTTAAGGGTTGCAGGAAGTGTGGGCTTATCTTGCAGCTAGAATTGTCAGTCTGTAGCCAAGGCCATCTTTCCTACTTTATGATGGTATCTTCAGCTTCCATTCCCCTCTTGGGAAGCCAGAGACTTGCTTGAAAGCATTTGCTCTATTCTCTGTTGCCTCAGGTTCTCTGTGCTTTTCTGCCATCCTGCTACCACTTTCACAATTCCAAATGCTCTCCATCTCTTTCTTTAGAATATAGTCTCTCTGTGTTACCTGATTCTTATTCACAGAGTCAGATGTTTCTAACCCTCCATCTTGCCCTACCCTCAAAGCTGCAAATTTTAAGTTAAGGTCTTTGATCCATTTTAAACAGATTTCTATACAAGATGAGATATAGGGATCTAGCTTAGTCTTCTACATGTGAAATCCAGTTTTCCCAACACCATTTTAAAGAGGCTATCTTTTTTTTTAGTATTTGTTTTTGGCACCTTTCTCAAGATTCAGATTGTATAGCTATGTGGACTTACATCTCGGTCCTCTATTCTATTCCACTCTTCTATATACCTGTTTTGTAGCAGTACCATGCTGTTTGAGTTACTATAGCTCTGTGGTATAATTGAAGTCGGGTATTGTGATTACCGTAACATTGCTCTTTTTGCCCACAATTTGACTGTTCACAGTCTTTTGTATTTCCATAAGAGCTTTAAGATGGCTTTTCCTATTTTCCTGAAGAATATCATTGGGATTTTGATGGGAATTACATTGAATCTGTAGATCACTTACTTAGTTATATAGTCATTTTCACAATATTAATACTGCTGATCCATGAACATGGAAGATCTTTCCATATTCTACTGCCTTTAATTTCTTTCTTCAGTATTTTTTGTTTTCATTGCATAGATCTTTCACTTTCTTTGTTAGGTTTATTCTTCAAATTATTTGAGTTCTTTCTTTTCTATTTGTATTCTTTTGCATTTTTTCTTTTGTCCTATTGCTCTAAGAATTCAAACACTATATTGAGTAAGAGTGGAGAAAGTGTACATCCTTGTCTTGTCTGATCTTAGAAGAATGCTTTCTGTTTTTCCCATTTACTATAACATTGGCTATATGTTTGTCATCTATAGCCTTTACTATATTGAAGAACATTCCTTCTATTCCTTGTTCTCTCTCTTACTGGCTATTTTCGGTAAAGATTATTATTTCTCTTTTAAAAAAACCAACTTGGTTTGATTGATTCTTTGTCAAATATTGTTTCTTTTGCCCATCTTTTAGGAAGAATTTCACTGTCCAATGTGAATGTATGTTGCACATAATTAAACCTACATAATTGAACTCAGGACCTACACCTTGAGCCACTCCACCAGCCCTTTTTTGTGATGGAATTTTTGAGATAGAGTCTCATGAACTATTTGCCGAATCTGGCTTTGAACCATGATCCTCCTGAGTAGCTATGATTACAGGCATGAGCCACTAGTGCCCAGCTATTTATACAATCAAATGTCTAATCTTTTATAGGAAAGACTTTTGATTCTGAAAATAACATATAAGGTCAGAAATCAAGAGCAAGAAACATGTTCTACCTTTAAATTGTCAGGGCTTCCCTACAACAACATATTAAAATGAAATTGATATAATTAACTACTCAGACTCTTAATATCATCTATCAAGAGCCCCAGGCAATGTCATTTACAGTTTCTTAACAGCTTAACAATGGAACATGTCATATTTGCCAGTTGGCTTTCTGTAACAATGTCTCTCTAGCAATGAAATCTTATTTTTCAAAGCTGAGAACACATTGCAATCAAGGTCTTTCCTTTTTTTGTCAACTACAACTCTGGATCTGAGTGGTTCTATCCACTGATGATTTAGTAAAACTGTAAAAAAGTAACCTATAAAGAGATGAGATCTTCTGATGAAATAAAAGCAAAGAAAAGATTTGTCCATTTGTCCATTTTTATCCTTACTCGAGTTTCTACCTGCACTACTGACATTTTGGATCAAATAATTCTTGATTGTATAAGTCAGTCCTAGGATTGTAGGATGTTTAGCAACTTTCCTGGGCTATTCCCACTAGTTGCTATAGTACTCATCCTTACACCTTCAGTTACAACCATCAAAAATGCCTCTAGCCAGACAAGTGGAGAATGCCTATAATCTCAGCACTCAGAAGGATGAGGCAAGAGGATCATGAGTTTGAGGCCAGCCTGAGCTACATAGTGAGACCCTCAGACTCTCTCAAAAATAAGAAACAGGATGGAGGTGTGGCTCAAGTAGTAGAGAGCCAGCTTAATAAGCAGGAGGCCTTGAGTTCAAGCCCCAGTGGTGCCAAAAAAAAAAAAAGAAACAAACAAAAAAGTATCACCATATATTGTCAAATGCTAGTTGGGAGACAAAAATTACACCTGTTGCCCACCATCAAAAGTCACTACCTTAATCCAAAGGTAAAAATATTTCTTCAAAACTATTTTCTATGATGCTTATCATAGTAACAAAGTAAGTTGAGTCATTGTATATCTGTTTCATTCTAGGACAAGTAATATACTGTTCAAAGAGCAAAGTGTTACCCTTTTAAACTCTCAGGATACAAACATCATAAAACTTGGAGGAGATTAGAGTATTTATTAATAAGTGCCAAATACAATTGCTATCCTATTTCTTCAGAATATGAATAATAATTTCCAATAAGAATGCTAGCATTAAGCTTGAAAAAGACTGACCGAAAAAATGTGATGAAATTTTGGGAACTCTTGCTAACTGCACCAATAAAATGCAAAAAACATTGTTTCTGGAAGCCCAGTTCAGTTACTTCAAATGGTATTTATTTATTTTTTCATATGTGATATGCTATTGTAAGAGTAAATGAGTTCTGTTAAAAACAGAGTCTCAGTTCTGTAATATCTATTCAGTGCTGGGCAGTTCACATCAAATTGTTGATCTTAACATTTTCATGTAAAATAAGTGTATTGGACCAGACATCTCCAAGTCCTCTTTGGTTGTATGAACGTAGCTTGTTTTTATGATCACTCTCCTCACCTATAAAATTGGGACAGTGATAGACCCTGTCTCATAGGCTGTTGAGAGGATTTTTGTAATTAATTGTGCAAATAGTTGTCATAATATAAACAATTTCATCATACTGAATCATAAGAAACATAAGAGAAGAAATTTTGCTGATAATAGCAAAATTGAGTTTCTTTTTATTGGGGACCTAGACTTATTGTAGGACTTAATAGCAAATAAATTCTAGTTTTCATAATATCATTGGATTTACCAGAAAAACATTAGTACTTGAGTATGAGATTTTACTGATATATTCCCAAATTCTGTAGAAATTTAGAGTTGCAATTAAATCACAGAAATCTACTAGGTGGGAAATTTGGATATCATCCAGCAGGAAAAAAAACAGAGTAAG